CAAAAATAAAAGCCTGTGTTTCAGAAATTGCCTAATGTGGAGAAAATATGGTCTCTATAATGATTTTATAGAATGAATAACCTGTAAGAATTCAAAAAATGGGTCTTCATGCAAAGAAATCATTCATTCCACCTCCCAACACATAAAATGTTCATGGCCTTTTGGGGATATTCAAAACCAGGATATGTGTTTTGCATCACATTTAGGTAATTGTTGGGGGGTTTTTGTGAGTTTTAGTCAATCACTGAGCCATCATCTGCAAATTGAATCATGCTAAAGCCAAAAAAGAAAATTAAACACAATATAAAAAATGTGTTGTACAGAGTTGAGGAGGTGGGGGGGATCCGGGGACAACCTGCAATTTCAGTGCAATTGAAAACTCCTCAAGATTCACTAAGAATCTGGAGAAAGCCAGAAAATAAGTGTATAAGAGAGAAACATATTTTGTGCACAGTTGCTTTGGGAGAGCATCAAATTATTTTAGTATCTAAATGTCCAGGTCTCCAAGTGTCCCTGTCACTAAATCACCCTGTCTCAAATTGGCCCTCTGTCTAAAATTGGTCCTGTCTCACATTGTCCCTGTCTCAAATTGGCTCCGATTCAAATTTTCCATCTCAATTGGCCTAGTGTTGAACTGTCTTTCTAAATTTGTCCATATCCATTCACATTTGCATTTTTACATGATGGTCTACTTTTGGTCATGCTATTTAAAAAATTAAGCTGCTGTATATCTTTCCCTTATCAAGAAATGCAATTAAATTAAAAACACAACAGAAAATGTTGGATAGGATTTGCATTCCAAAATTGCAATACCCTGCCCTTTAATCTGAATAACAGAACATCACAAATCAATGCAAAATGTTCTTTCTTATTAGGGGAATCATTGCAGAATTTATTGTGAAGCCCTAATAAAATTCCCAATCAAAATTGCAGACTGAAGACGTCCTGAAAAACTTGCAATTTTTACTTTTTGAGGGTCTTAATTTTTGTGCGGTGATTTTCCATGCTGGCTCCGCGGGCCAGATGAAAAGCCTCCGCGGGACAGATCTGGCCCGCGGGCCGTATCTTGGGCACCCCTGCTAGTCTAGAAGATTACGAACACTTGGTGATTAAACCTCTGATGCTTGTAAATGTTGTAAAACACTTCGTAAATATTGAAAACTTACGAAATGAATGGGATGCGTTTTCCCCCTGAAGTCATGTACGGAAACCAGAAATATTTCATAGGGTTTCTTCAGTCTTCAAAAAGACTGGGGGTTTTTTGGAAGGGTGTGTATCGCAGCTTGGGCTTGTGTCCTAGATGTGGACGAATGTGCAGCCAGGACCAGCAATTGCCGTCCACCGATGCAGTGCAAAAATCTGATCGGAGGATTCACGTGCGTATGCGCGGATGGGTACGAAGAATCCCCGCCGGGTTCGAAAATTTGCCAAGACATCGACGAGTGCCGCGTGAATCCCGAGGCGTGTAGCAACGGAGACTGCATCAACACCGCCGGCAGTTTTGCCTGCAATTGCGATGAAGGGTTCCGATCAGCATCCAAAAATAGAACCGACTGCGAAGAAGGTATACAGAAGTTGTTTCCTCTCCGTCGGAGCACTACTCATAAGAAGCTACAGTCGAGAAGAGAGAGGTGACGTTTGAAACGTCCCTTACGAGGGAGACTGAACTTCCGATTATAACTGTAACGGGCAGAAGATTTGAAAGTTTTGTGCGTATAACCTCAATATCCGCAAAGATGCTGTATGTCTTTCGAGATTTTCTAAATTATTCTCAAAAGCTTCACAAGGTTAAATGGAATCTTTGGGACTATTTAAATTTTAAATTCTGACTCAAAGTTTGCTCAAACTAATGCGTGATCTCTACAATCATAATTTATTTTAAGCCCTCATCTCCATATACCTGGGAAAACATGAGCTTTTTTTTTTTAGCTCTTCGTGTTTATTTCCAATTTCAGGTATTATTCTATATATTTCAAGTCAACATTGTAAGAGAAATATGTCGGTTTAATGAGGTACGGAGGGTGTTCCCAGCCTTCTGTACTGCAATAAAAGTTGAAAGAAAGAATTAAATCAAATGCTATCCACCAAAGATACATGAGATGCAGGATGAAGGCTGGATGGCCCCAACGTAACCGATTTCTGAACTGTTTACAAGGGACTGCATAAGTTCGTTCAACGGAGTCTTATTGGATGTGTATTCGTCTTCCCTTCTTCATGGGAGATCCGTGACTACCATACGACGGTTTTCAAATCTCCCAACGGCCCCATGGACTCTCCATTATCGTAGTTCCGCGGGCCAGCAAGTCAACGCTATCTTCGTTGTTCAAAGTTCAGAGTAGGATTTTCTGAGGTTTTTTCTCTAAATTTTTCTTTAATTGTAGAATGCATTTACTGTAGCTATTTTTGGTTCGGAAAGTCTGAGAAAAATTAATAAAACCAAATCAAAATATTAAAACCATATCCCCCGAAATTTCTTTTTACTACAGTATATGGAATTTCGTGGGATATGGTTTCATTATTTTGATATGGTTTTATTAATTTTTCTCGGACTTTCCGAACCAAAAATAGGTACAGTAGATGCATCCTATAATTTAGGAAAAGTTTAGAGAAAAAACCTCGGAAATTCCTACTCTGAATAACTTTGAACAATGAAAAATTCCATATACTGTAGTAAAAAGGAATTTCGGGGGATTTTTCCAACTAGAGCGTTGATTAAAATATAAGCACTCAAAAGAGGTTTGGGTCACCTTTAATATGAAAACTTTTTTGCAATGTGCTAGCTTGACCATTCAGTCGGCATATCAGTTGAAGAGTAGGACTACTTCTTTTGGTCCCCATTCTATGATAGAGGGAGGAAGCGCAGTAATGGAGGACTATGTGCTGTATTGTACTGTACTATTACGTCAGCAAGTCGAGGTAAAGTACCACGTGTGTATGCCGTATAAGCTGATTTTAAAAAGGGGTTCCGAGAGTCAAAAATACTGGAAATCTTTGGGCTAACGACGTGGAGCCCGTGGTCTCTGTATACAGCAGAACCCTATCTCATCGTCGGAAATAGGACGAGTTCTTTTAATGAGCTGCACGGGTGCTGGTTACCTCTTAGATCACCGAACGGGATATTGCTACCAGGGTGTCAATCGCGGACATTGTTTGCCGGATGCTCGCAGTAAAATCAAGGTGAGCAAAGCAGGTTGTTGCTGCTCAATGGGCCGGGCCTGGGGCCCTCATTGCGAGCCGTGCCCAGCGCCGCGGTCGCGTCAATACCTTCGTTTGTGTCTGGAAACCGGCTACTTGGGGAACGGAACAGGTGAGTCGAAATAAGAAAACGGAGGAGGACCGATTCATTGCCAGCCATTCCTGCTGGAAAGAATGAGTGCGTAATGGTCTGCTTCCGCCGTTTCTCGGATCCGCCAGACATTGACGAATGCGCCACCATCCCGGAATTGTGCAAAAACGGCCGATGCATCAATTCGATGGGCTCTTACAAATGCGCCTGCGATCGCGGCTACGAACGCGATGCTCATCAGACCAGATGCATAGGTAAAAATCTGCTCGCTGATCCTCCCCATTCGTTCAGTACTGCTTCCACTATCATACGGGGAAGGATCTTCTGTTTCTCTTAAGTACAGTATTTCCTATCTTACGGTAGAAAAAAAGTGAAACCCCATTCCGAACCGAAAGTAACATATTCTTGCAATAACTTACGGTTGCTTAGTCAAACACTTTTCAAGAGCCCTACCATTTAAAACAAAATGAAAAGCAAGAAATGTCTACGCAAAGATTACACTGTAATGTATATCTCAACGACTTTGAAGCAAATGCAGTAATGCAGTCGCTTAATTCAGTACAATTTTTTCGTAAGAATTTAGCCATGGATGAAAACTTTTCTTATTCTTTTAAATTTTGCTCATTTACGAACATCTTCATTTTTATTTAACATGCTGTTTTGAATCTTCAATTGCCTTAAAAAAAAATGACATTAAGTTCAATGTCACTCCGGATTCAGGAAAAGTTTGAACACAGAATTGATCGCATTATTGAAAGCGGCTCAGCCGAAAAGCATCCGGACTATGCAAACTCCTTCAAGAACAGTGCCACTTCATCTTAATTAAAAATTTAGCAGTATGTTGTTCGCGTGTCATCCGTATTCAGAAAGAAATTACATTTCTTTTTTGAAAAGTGTTACATGGGAATCAGAAAAAAATATTCGATGCCGTGCAGTAAAATAGTGAGAGAATCTGCGATTTTAAAGCAGGTGCCGATCGAAACGAAAGCTTTTTTATGGGAATCTTATCTTCTTCTTTTCGTTAATGTTATAAAATTTCATTGTTTTCTATCCGAGAGTTAGAAGAATATTTATAGGATATTTTCGTGACTTGAATGATTTGGAAAACTTGCTCTCTTATCGACAGATGTCAACGAATGTAACTTGGAGCCGAAGGTCTGCGAAGAAGGATGCCGAAATACTCCGGGTTCGTTTGAGTGCACTTGTCCCCCTGGATTCACGTTAAGCGTCGACAGTCGTCGCTGTGCCGATGTGGATGAATGTGCAAAAAATCTGCACACTTGTTCCCACTCGTGTGTCAATACTCAGGGATCGTACAAGTGTTCTTGCCCTCCTGGATACTCCGAAACTGGCAATGACCAGTGCACGGGTGAGTATATTCATGTCAATTTCGATCCAGCATCCTCCAAAGTTGGGAACATCAGTGAAGCCAACATTTTTATTCCTTGCACGTCTGAGAAATGAAGAATGATGAAAAAGCTTATGCCCTGCACTTCATGCAATGGCAGTCTAATTTTCATTTACCAAGTATAAGGCGCGTGATGCGTTGTACAGTGTTGGGCGAAATAATTGAAAGATTTTGAAAGATAATCCCCTGAACGATTCGCGAAAGTCTTTTCGACTATTTTTACTCGAGAACTCTGCTTTATAAATAAATTTCTTCGGCGGAGCCCATTTCGGATTATAATTTTAGACCGCAGCTTATTAAACTCGCTTTATCGGTCTTGCGAGCTCGTATTCATGCGGGCTGACAAAAATAATATAATTTCTTGTCGTCATTGACTTTCATCCGAGTCGCACACAACTTTTTCCACATAATAACTTTTTGACCCGGCTTCTTCATGAAGTATTTATATTTAAAACAATTTTTGAAATTTCACGGATTATCCGCGGAGCCCCGGCGGAGTAGGGTTCCCGGGAGCTCAGGCATAGGATATATATTTATAAATATTACCTTGGTTCATAAAATTAAAAAAATCCCTCTTAGCGCTTGGGGATATTTAGCTCTGCTAGAATGACTTTTAAAAAAACCTGAAGTTCCCTCTGAAACTCAATAACCCACCTGAATGGCCGAAACTGGAGCAAATGTCAGATTTCCTTTCCCGATGATAGTACAGTATTTCCATATGACATGATCTCTGCCATATAAATAAAAATAAGACAATAATTCGAGATCCACTCGGAAAAGAATCGTTTAATCTTTATTGTGATAATTTTTATGGGCTCTACCCTTTTGAACGAAAGTTTTAATGTAAAATTTAAATATGTGCACAGCACTTCATCTCTGCATTATTGTGGCTGCGGTGTGTAACATGTGTCTTGAATTTTGAAGCCTTTCGTGAGCCAGGAAGCTTGCTTTTCGCAAAGGCTCAAGCACAGAAATATGTTCTCCTTAATTTTGCAACTGTATTCATGCATGTCGTTTCATTGTTTCGCTTCCGGCAGATATCAACGAGTGCGCGGAGCAGCCGGAACTTTGCCAGCCGCACGGGGTTTGTCGCAACACGGCCGGAAGCTTCAAATGCGTCTGCCCGCGAGGTTATCAGCTCGACCATCAGGGCATCTCATGCATCGATGTTAATGAATGCGAGGATGATGCTAAATGCGATTATGGCTGCCAGGTATTCCGCAATCTTTTTTCCTTTCCTTTGGTTCTTCCTCAACGCTGATCCTCTAGCTTTTATCTCGTTCGAGCGGCTTCGATCCATGTATTCGTCCCGCTGCTCTTTCTCCTGTTGACAACAAAAGCGCTTAGCTCTTGGCCTGAAACTCTCCTTAGCTGATAACCTCTTACTCGGAGGGAGGCTTTCAGGGAAGGCTGAAAAATGAAAATCTGCAAGCCCATCTGCCATCGCTCATGTTCATCGTCTACGCCGAATGGCCCAGTAAAGAGCACGCTTTCTGTTCGGATACCAACCTTCAAAATAATTCTCACACAAGCATCTAGCATTGTGATCGGTTTCGATTATTCTCCTGAAGCTTTTAATCATGCGCATTTTGAATCGTAGCCTTCACGGTAGGATGATTTTTTTCTTCCTTCAGCCATACCCAGCTGGCACCATACGTGTACTGTACTCCGCCATTCCACATTGTTGCCAACTTAAAAATACGGAGAGTAATGGGACTTGGAACCGCGAAACAAGCGTTCATCCGTCTTCCCCGCGTGTTTTTCTTTTGCCGCAGAATCTCCTGGGCACGTATGCCTGCACTTGCATTGATGGGCTCGTGCCACACAACTACTGGAAAAAATCCTGCGTCAGCCCTGACGAATGCGTGGGTGACCCGTGCGGATCTGCTCTTTGCCAGAACTCGGGCCTGGGCTATAAATGCATGTGCCCGGCGGGATACGACTTCGACAGCGTACAATTAATTTGTGTTCCGGTCAGTTCCTGCTTTTGCGTACTACAGTCCGCTGACTTGCGTGACGATTTCTCCGGTTCCATTTGCACTTGCTCGTTCACGGTTATCTTTGGGTGATTTCTTCCGTAAATTATATGACATCTCAATGCTGAAAAGGCGTCGAGTATGTTAAAAGTGATGGAGCGTTTACGTAGTTCTTCAGAGTTAAATGCTGGTCCAAGATGCAAAATTTCACTTCACAAAAAACTTAACTGACGCGTGGCCTGTATCAGATTCAATAAACAGTTGCTTTGCAAAAAAATTAAGATAAAATAATTTTGAAAAGAAAGCTCATTAAATTCTAAATTCTCATGAAATTCTAGAGAAAGCTCTAAAATAAAATGTTTTGAGTGCACAAAAGAACTAAAAAATGAATTGTTATACTGTACTGTATATTGTTTTAGCCAGGAATTTTTTTTTATCGGTGAGCAGACGAGAATATGCTGAAAATTATACAATGCTCGTTTTCAAGCTCAAAACTCATTCAATTACGCAACAGTTATCTCTGGAACGATAAAGCTGGCTTCAAATTGCTCTAGATAAGTCTAGAAAACTAACTTTGTTGATCAACTCGACGGATTTTCATGCATGCATGATCGCACATCCGTTCTTACTCCGGTATTTTGTTTCTAAAAATGCGCTCTTCTTGATGCGAGGGATAATTGGCAAGCGTTTTTAGCGTATGGAGAGGAAGGTCATCAAAATTATCTGCGAAAATGCTCCAAACTCGGCTCGAAAACTTACACGACGAAAAATGACGATGTAATGCACATTGCACGTTTGCTATGTATTTTCGATTGCAACAGTTTCTTTCTTGCTCACCAATTTAAATTTTAGTCCAAATTTTCAACAAGAATTTTTAGAAAATGGTTTTAAACTCTGGGTAGGACTCAGAGTTTTGACTGCCCCAAAAATCAAAACGCTCCCGGTGAATTTCATTTCCCTCACAGTGGTGGAGTGCTCTTTCAACTCCCTATATTTTCTCCATTATAACTCGAGTGAACAAAATTTCGAAAAAAAATGTCAGAAAATTTTAATATTCAATTTACGCTGTATAAATTAAGTCTATCGTCCATTTAGCAGAATACGAGAAGCCGAAGGATAACCGAACACGTCAATAACCTAAACGTTCTAAATGAGATGCACAAAGACTCGCATGAAATAGTCTGCTTGATTATTCGACATTTAGCTCACGCAGACTTTTCGACCTAGTATAGTCACGACTTGGAGGTGTGTTTTCGTATGCAGTGACATGGATTACCTTCCTTACGTTTCGTGGGCTGCATTCCTAGTCATGTAATGTTCTTGTTGATTGATGAGATTAACCCATTCATTCGGCGAATTCTTCCCTTCAGCCGGGAAGATAGAAGGAAGAATAATCTAGGGGAAGGGGGGGGGGGCAAATAATGAAATTCGAACGGCGGAAAAACAGGGCAAATCAGCTCCCCACACGGGTCGAACATCAAAGTACTGGAAGCGGAATAATTGTGTCGGACGGGTTCTTGGTATTTCCAGGCACCGTCGGGATGTGCAGCGTCAATTTGCGCATTCACCTGCAGGCCCGCGGGGAACGCTTATTCGTGCGGATGCCCTCCGGGATATCAGACAATAGGCCAAGGACATTGTCTGCAGACAGTTGGATCGCCGTCGCAGAAAAATTTCCCGAGTCGCTTCGACTACGGTCATCTGTCTTACGGGGAATACTTGGAGCCCCCTTCGAACGAGAACGTTATTTCGACTGAAGGGTGCTTCAGCTGCAAGGTGAGCCCTTGAACGTTGTTGCCGATGGTGGAGTCGCGGATTCCGGATCCGATATGCTTTCGGATTTATCCCTGAATCCCGTCGGGAAGTGGCCTACGGATCATAGATTATGCAGGCACTTCGAGTGGTTGCTCCTCCTATCGGCACTCGGCGAAACAATCTCCCGCTCTTTTTCCGATCTCATCAAAAATTCGAGTGAGCTCATTTGCAGTGCTAACGATTTCCTCCTCAAAATCAAATGTTCCCGACGGGATTCCAAATGCAAGGGCTCTGTCTAGTGCTCAAAACCCTTTTCATGCACATTGCGTTCGGCATTTTCAAGACTCGGGAAGTTAAAAGAAAAGGAACTAGTTTTAAGGATGTGCCGATATGGAGAAAAAGGCCGCATCATTAGGCGGAAAATAGAATGCCATCCGAAAAAAAAATTTTTTAATCACAGACGAACCGATATATTTTAAAACCGAGTGTCACTTTAAAATAGGCTCGCTGGTATATTTGTCACAGCTTTTCTGTTTTATTTATTTTTATCTTCTAACGTTTTGCATTTTTCTTCCTCCTCCTTAATTTTTCCTGACCATTGTAGACGCGTAGCATTATTGTGTGAGAAAAGTCTCACTTGATCTTTGCATGGTATGTGTCCCTGCTTTGTTTTCACCCAGGTCGTTTCCTCTCTGTCGCACATTCTCTCGTATACAGTTTTTCTCGGCGACATTTTCTGCAGCATTATCTTTTCTCTGCCGCATTTTCTCTCACGGTAATCCGTCCCAACCACGTGTTTTCCCATGCTGGATTTTTAACCACAGAGTCATTTTCTCTTGGCGCCTCTTCCTACACAGCACGTCTCATTATAGAAACAATGCAACAGTATTACAATATTTTCTGAAACAATAGAGGGATTTGCTTCATGAATTTCGGAAATTTGATCGAATGCCACTCGAAAAATAATATATTCCGAAAACAGTTTTCGGTTTTCAAATTTTCACTTTTTGGTCGAACATTCAAAAAAGTGGATAATAACGATTTTTTTAAGCAGTAGAGAACTTCTTTGTATCGCAGTACAATTTCGACTCAATTAAATAAAATTGGTTGGTGGGATTCTGGAGTTCATCCTTTTTGGTGTACCATTCAAAATATTGAATGAATAAAGGCTAAAATTACTTTCTAAAAGAATAGATCGATTTCATCCTCGGCTTTGGTGAAACTTTTGATTCAGTCGAAAAAAATAAAAAAAGAAGAATTTTCTGTATTGAAGAAAGATTGTTTGAGCTCTCTGTCCCCCATCACTGCGCGCGAAATACGATTGTACTGGACATTTCTGAACTTGCCTCGTGTGCGGAAACTTTGGTTTCCCCGCTATACTGCCGGGCTTCTTCGGAAGAAGTCCGTTTAAATTTAGCTCGTGCCAAGGGGGCGATATGAAGCCCGTGTCAGTGCTGAGGAATTTTCGAAATTGAATTCCGTGTCCTCGTCCGGCAGCTGAATCGGAGGCGGTCGCGAAGATCCATCATGCCCGCGTCGCACGTCGGATGGGGCCCGCTGGCCGCGGTGAACTCGTCGCTCAGCCAGCAGCCTCAGTTCCTGGACGACGATGTCGTCAATCCCGTTCTCATCAGAATGTCTCTTGAGCAAACAAAGCATCGTCACGCAATTCTCCAGTTGGTTCCCTCCGTGATTCCGCTGCAGGTGAGCCGAATTTCCCTTTTGTAATAAGTCCAGAACAAAAGAATATTTCTACCCTCCGCCGTCTTCGCAGCAGTACAATTATCCTCCGATTACCTCGAATTTCCGGCGAGCAGCTAAGTAAAAAGGTATACAGTACTTTATCCTACATTCGTACCCCCGAAAACTAATGAGGAAAATGCAGGGGGTTGTTTCATAAGTTTCAACGGTCTCGTGCTCCAATTTTAGGATGAATTGAGATGAACGTAATTCTCAACAATTGCAGCGTGATAATCAGTACTAGGAAGAAAGTTACCGGCCACTTGCATATTTTATGAATTTTCAGCAAGTCTACTCCAAGTGCTGGCAACTATTTCAAATAATTGACAAGTTCACTGAGCGAAAACGTCGCAAATCAGACTCGCATTTTCTCATGAAAGGATGCTCAGATATCTGAAATATTTCTGTTGGTGTTGCTGAAGGTCCTCATAAATTATCATTCAGTGTTTAAGAAGTTTCCCACGTTAAGGATGAAACTGAAGAACATCCATAACAAATGAACGAAGGATTGCTTTGATCCCATGGGAATTCGTGGAATCCTGACTCAAAAACACGCTTACACAAAGGATGTCTTCGAGAAGTACTGAAAACATTGTTGAAGCATCCCTCGTACTTTTCTATCCCGCGATTCGCCTTGGAAATAATCGTCGTTCCGTAGATCCTTCCGAGTGTTGTTCGTTTTAGCTAATTACCGGCGCACCGTCCGAAAAAACTTGATGTACTGTACGGTGGTTCGAGATTTCTGGGCATTTGAAGAATGAGAATATTTTGATTATACAGTACTGTATCGGTAAAGCAAGGATAAGCAGGTGCTGAAAGATTTTCCACGCAGCTAATGCAGTGGACGAGCGCGGAGTTATGCGAGCAGTCCGTTTTTTGGCTCGAATGCGTTTGCAAGCCTTTGCAATCATTCTCGACTGCCTCTTACTTAACGAGGCATTCTAATGACGGCTTCGAATCCGTCGGTTGCTGCTCCAGAGCGGATGAATCTCGATCTTCTGCCATGAAGAGTGATGGATGCATAACCTGCCATTCCCAGGGAGCAATTCCTCTTCATCCCTCAGTATTATTCGAGTGTATCGTGCGATGAACAGTCGGGATACAACTGCGCCGCCCGAGAAGTTTCTCACTCCGTTGATTCAACTGGAGGGCATTCCGAGCTCGCGTCACGCGCGTGCTTCATGATGAGACTTGCGGAAACTCGTGGAGTTCTTCCCAGGGTAACGAAATTATGCTACCGACCCGGGTTAGTTCGTATTTTACCTCCAGAGTTTTCCCCTCTTTTATCCCTCCCTTCGAGATTTATTTTTCTCTTCTGTTTTCAATGATCTTGCGAACTAGTAGTTCCTGCGCGTGACGAAGCAAGTGCAATCGAATTGCAACAATCGGCTGAGTATTTGTTCGTTGAGTCGCTTCGGATTGAAAGCCATCACTTTAGTAAGCTAGAAATTCTGAGCTGAGGCGTCCGGTAAAACAAAATACTGAATGCAGTTCTTGAAGAGAAAAATTTCTTGTATCCAGCGAGAACTACAAATAAATTGGTTGCATAATGTGTGCTTAAAGCCGGTCTGTCAAACTCTCTATAAGTCTATAGCCTATATACTAGTGTTCCCCAGCCCGCCGTGGTCCAGCACAGACTGGTGCCAGTCCATGAAAGTTATTTGCTGGTCCGAGGGAAATTTTATTCAGCATAATAAGTTAATCAAAAGTAGAAATGAAGGACATTTCGGTATCTTTATATCAAACTCTGGAAAGACAATGGCAGTTATAATCATCTCATGAAAAATAAATGTTTTCTTTTCTCCTAATAACACTTCGGACAAATTTTCAACTGAAGAAAAAATTTATTTTAATTTTTTGTTTTGAGAAACCTGTCAAGCCCACCTTTCTATTTTTTTGAAGACATTCCACTATAGCTGCTTCTTTGGTTCTTAACTCACTTTTTTCCAAAAAGGAGAAACTTTTTAAATATCTGCCATAAACTCTATCCAGCAAATTTTTTTTTTTAGTCTGCAACATTTTTATGCAACTTTGCCGGTATAGTAACGCACGTTTGGATACTATAGTATCCAAACGTGCGTTAATGCCATAGGCGCGTGGAATCGGGACAGGAAAACTGCGTCCTGGAGCAATCAGAGCTTTGAAAATACACTGTGAAACTTTTCTTTATCTTTAGGACATTAAAAAAATTGTTTGTGCCATGTGCTGCCGAACAAAAAAAATTTCGTAAGCGATTAGAGGCATACGGTATTTTTATCGTTATCTGTAACACCATAAACTTTCGGGAAAATATTTGAAGAAATGAAGTGTGTTGATCGCAGAAAAGCTCAAAATTTAAAGGATGATGATATGCGTATAAAGTTCTAGATAAGTTTTTTGGTTAAAATGCCCTTGAAATGTGATTACAGCATCATGAAGATTTCATCAGCTCGATCAAAAGTAAAAATGACTTTGAAAGAACCAAAATATACGGAAAAAAAACGCAAAGACGAAGTCTCCATGACGTCTTTCTTTGTGCTTGATTTTTTTTCCACTTATTTTTCTTCTGAATTGATTTCTTCACGCAAGCACCAATTTTGGGCCGCACCGTTCAACAGCAGCGACCAAGGTTTATCACCCGAGATTTTTTCGAATTTATATTTTGAGAAACGTAAATTCTGTGATCCCATGAATACGATACAGTGAGAACCCAAGATGGGGACGTAATTGGTGCATCAAGAGTGTCCTGATGTCAGAATGTCCCTTAGTCGAGTCTCATTTTCCCTTAGACTTCAATGTTAACTTATTTCATTGGTTCTCCTTTTTGCCAAAAATTAGAAATAAATCCTCAAAAAATTTAATAAAAATTGTTGCCCTCAACTAAAAGTGGTACAGTAGAAAAAAAGTGCAAAAAAGCCACATGGAATCTGATCTTATGGTATGAAAAGGAGATCAACAAGCAAAGAAAAAAATATTTCTCGCTAGAATATTCACAGATGATAGAACAACTCTGAAAAAAAAGCACAACATTAGCTTTCTTTTGATTATGAACTAATGTGAATTTATCACGAAATATTTTTACAATTTTTGTGAATATAAATACAGTAGCTTGCTTTCTTCAAAAGATATCAAAATAAAAATAAATCAAATGTTCAATTTTTTGGAAAAATTTCAGAAAAGTGTCCCTGACTCGAGCCAATGTCTGGATGTTGGGCCTGATATTTTTGGTTTTCAAGTGTCCCTCAGTCGAATTTTCCATATGTCTGGGTGTCTGCATATTGGGGTCTATCTGTATTTCAGGAAATGCTTCTAAATTTCTCGCCGTCGAATGTGAACTGAATGAAACTATAATGTCACCGCGATTGTATCGAATTCCTAAATTTGAAAAAACCTGACTGACCAGAAAGTGTATGCCATTGTTTATAGTTATGCTCACCACGAAGCATAAAAGGAATTGTTCAGGTGTGTTCGGGAAACATTATTCGCGGTGTGTGTGTTTGTGTGTGTGTGTTATAAACAGGCCGTTTTGTGACCCGATTTCAACAAAGGCGGTCAACTTGAAACCGCTATCTTATCGAAT